CAGCGATGGGAAGAGGAGAGAGGCAAGGGGGAAGTGGCACCGTGCACCGTAAGGGCACAGATGCAGAACTCGCCCTGCCCCTTCTTCACCTCAACACAGGAGGGGTCACCACAGCCCCGAATTTGTTCCCTCACCCTCAGGACAAAAAGGAGAGGTTTGGAGGAGAAGGGCAAGTGTGCTGGATACTGGAGGAGTTAGGGGAATAAACTTCAGTTGTTAAGACGTGAATCAGCAGCTTAGCTCCATCCTCACAGGGCTGCTGGGGGCTGCTCCCAGCCCAGCCCAAGCGCTCCGAGTCCCTTCGCTGCTCAGGAAGCGAGAAAAGCAAAGGTATTACACCCCAGTGTGGACTTGGGAAGTAGGCAGGGAATTGGGAAGTGAGCAGTGAAGCAACCAGGAGTTTCAGTGTCTGAAATGAGTAGTTGTAGCTGGATGAAAACTACCAGGTACTGGGCTTGGAGACCACCGGAGTGGGATGATTTTTTCCTGGGAGCAGCTTGTCACAGGTCTGAGCCCTGGGGAGGGATATGGGCACTGATCCAGTAATAAGGAATTTGGTGGTTGTGCAAGAATAGGGGAGTTGGCCAGCGGGGGCAGGAGATGGGAATACAAAACTTGGAGTGTTCTCTGGGGTGGGACAGGGTGGACAAGCAACACTCCCTTGTGGGGTTATTGCAGCTTAAAGTGGGAGTGGGAGCCTGGAGCAAAACGGACACAGAGCTGTGCAGCCACCAAAGAGGTTTAGCAATCAGGGCTGGACCCTTTCATAAACAATCTCTGCCCTGTCTGGCTTTTCTTACTCACTCCAGGAGCCCAGCCCTGCACTGGGCAGTGCCCTGTGGGCCCCCCATGACTCAGCCCCAAGGCTGCAGGGATGGCAAGCACGGCTTTCCCGGGGACAGAGAGCCTGGAGTGGGTTTCCCTGACTCCCAGCAGGATTTCTGCTCTCATCGACTGCAAACCACAAAAGCAGCTGCCCAAAAACCTCAGCAGAGAATCACCCTCACTCAAGGCCTGGCAGGAGCAGCACTGCATCAGCATGGGGGGAGACACTGGGGCTCTCCCAGGACCTGAGTGCTGGAATACACCACACTTATCCACTGGAGACCATCCATACTTTTCATATTACACAATAAAAACACAAAAAAGGCAAACTCCTGTGAATAAAGGGGGAAAGATGGGGCAGCAAAGAGGCACAGAAAACAGACCCATCTCTGAAAAATACTCTATTCTGCTTAGCAAACAAGCACTTTCTGTTTGCACCCATCAAACAAACATGCTTGATTTTGTTTTGTTTCGCAGCCAAGTTATCACGTCTCGAAAATGATTTCAAGCACACAACAGGGGCCAAATAAATTGGCAAAGCAGGCTTAGGTAAACCATGGCAGAGCTCAGTGGTGAAGCACACAGCCCTTTTCAAAGCCTGAGTGGAAACCATGGGAAACATCAGGGTTAAAAAAAGCTTTGACTCGTGTTTAACTCAGATTTGACTTCTAGTGTTGGAATCAAAGGGGGGGAACAAATGAAGGCATCTCACCAACCCTGCCAAGAAAGCCAGAGGAGATGTACAGAGGAGCCTGTGAAAGTGGCCCCCACCCTACAGCCAGATCTGCCTGGGGCATCTGTGAATTCAGGGGGACACCAGTGACTTTGGGGGGCACCGATGGATTCGGGAGGGCACCACTCAGGCGCCTGTGCTGCTGATGGGAACGTCAGAGCCTCGCCGTGGAAAGCGCTGACTGATGCCAATTAAAGTGAAATCATAATCAAGCCATTTGTTTTGGTGCCGAGAGAGCTGCTCCAAAGGTCTCAGCAATGCCTGGACTCGGTTCAAGCACGGGATGGAAGCTCAGGATGGGTCTTCTCCAGCGTGAACCGCTTGCTATTGGTGGGCAGACGCTGCCTGGCCATAGTGGGGAGGGATGAAGATCAGCCTCATCCTCACAATGGGGTCTTGTGAGACCCACCAGGACAGCCAGCTCTCACCTTCCCTGGCACACAAGCCCTTGGTGTAGCCCCAAGATCAGGGATCAACACACCCATCAGTAAAAACACTAAGCTGTTTGTCCCAACACCCTCAAACCTTTTCCTCATTCCCGGCAGGTATTGCTGCGTCCAGGAGCAAATCCTACCCCTCTTATCCCAGATAGTAGCTTTAACCTGACATCTAAGCGTGGATTTAAATTTAATACAGTGATCTGAAGTGCTGGTACCAAAGACAAGTCTGTACCCTGCAGCAGACACATCATGAGACAGAAGCAAACATCTGAACATCTCCGGTGACTCTGGCCCTAAACTGATTCCCTACAGCAGATTGCACAGAGCAAAGCCTGTGCCCTTTACCATGGAGAAGTCTCCTTGCAGCCTTCTATCCAGCTTCTTTTCCAGCACTGAATTCACTCTGCTGGGAGGGACAGAGCTGAAAAGAGCCTCTTGGCAGGGCACCACTGCTCGACAGCAGCTTGGGCTCCTCAGCACCTGCCACCCCAATAAAATAACTTCCTTCCAACAGCCAAGCTCTCTCCCTTGGGAAAAGGGGGGTACAGGACTTTCCAAGTGCTTCAGAGAAGCAGCAACTTCTGCTGCTGAGTTTCAGCTTGCTGCCCCTTTTGTCATCTGAGACAAAACAAGAAGGCACCTCTAGAAACATCTCTCTCCTTCCAAATTCTTGGCTGCAACTCCCCATCCTCCCACCTTGCATGGAAATGAGTGGGATTGGATTAGACCTGATTTTTTTTTCCCTTCCCTGACTGCCACCCATGCAGGGCTGGGCAGGAGGTGGCCAGGAGCATCGTTGGGGTCTGCTGAAGCCTTTGTAGCAGCATTGCTATTCTGCACAAGTTAACTCCTCCACAACAGATCGATGGGTGCGCTGGGCTGGGAGGGGAGCAGGCAGGAAGATTCATTCCTCCTTGATTTCCGCTGGTTTTCACATGCTCCTCTTCTCCCAGCTCCTGCCACAGCACAGCACGACTGACACCAACCAGGGGATGCAGCAATGCCCCACTGCCTGCCAGGCTGGCTGCTCCCACCTCAAACCAGCAGGAAAACACCCCAAAAATTCCAAGGCAAGACACACTCCTCCACCTCTCTGTCACCAAGGCAGTGCCGAGCTGGTGGCAGCAGCAAGCCATTAATTTCCAAGAGCAATGCCTGCTCCAGGGCAGAACAGCAGGAATATCATCTGCACAGTGGGAATGGCATCCACACAGTCTGTGCATCCCAAGCCTGTCTCCTGGGGTTTGTATGGATGAGGCACCTGCCAAGGGACACAGACATCCCTTGCCACCAGACCAGCTTCCCAGCTCAACTGGGATGTGCCTATGGCAGCTCTGGAGTGATAACACATTGCTGCCCTCCCTCCCCAGAGCCACCTCCCAGGGACAGGATTTGTTCCCTTTCCCATCAAATCTCCCAGTCAGAAGGCAAGAATCCCTCCTGCTGACTCACCCCAGCTTCCCTTTGTTCTCCACTGACACCGGGTGACCACCCGATGCCAGGGCAGAGCACCTTGGTCCATGGTGCAGATCGAGATCCTCAATCTATCTGTGCCTGAAACCCTGTGCAGGGCCCCACCAGAGCCTCTTCCAGTAAGTTTGCAGAGCACCCACCCTGCTGCTGCCACCCCCAAAGACGTATTTTGCTGCCCAGACCCCTAATGACCCAAACCCCTCCCCCTTGGATACCCCCATGGCAGCATCTGTAGGATTTTCAGCACCTGGGAGGACGAAGTGATTCAGGAAAGAAAAGGAGCTACTACTTTTTTAAAACCAAGCTCAGCGAGGCGAATTCCTAAGCGAGACACTCCATCCTTCACCCTCGGCCACCGGTTTTCCAGCCCCTTTGCCCAGTGGTGCCATGACGCAAGACAAATCCAGAGGAACGGCCACAAGGCAGCTCCCACCCTCCCTCCCTCCCTCCCGGGAACACGCAAGGGCTGCGGGGAGGGGGACGAGACGTTTCGCTGCAAACAACGGAGTTGTAGGAAAATTCCTGCTGAAATCCCTCCTGAGGTTCTTTTCCCTGCCCTGGCTTGGCCCTGCTCCACCGGCTGGCTCGAAGCAGGAGTGCGGTGTCACCGCACACGCCCAGCTGGCCCCGCAGATGTTGGTGCCACCTATGCATCGCTCCGGGGGAGGGAAGTCGCTCCCGAGCACGCCGGAGTTGCAAGCGCCGCTTCCCAGCGCTGCAATTAAAACCTGCCTTTTGATTTTTAATGTCCCTATCAAACATCCTCTGGGATGACTGCGCCCATCTGCTGCGAGGACAGGGACGAGTGTCTGGGCATAAGACGTCCCAGAAGTTACACTGATCAAAATTACGGATTCCCTGGCAGACCCCGCACCCCCCGGGTCGCTGCTGCAGGCGACAGGACCCCGGTGCAACGCCCAGCCCCACATGTCCCCCCTCCCCAAGGAGTTAATGCTGGTGGGGAGCATCAACCTCTGGAACCTCTGGAGCAAGGCGGGTTTTAAGGAGCGGAGCATCCACCTGCCAGGAGCCAGCCCCATCCTGTGCTTCCCCGTCCCAGCAGGTCTGAACGTGAGGAAAAGCAACAAAACCACACCGGGGGGTCAACAACTCCCCCCTTCCCCAGGTTGGGGTGGTCTGACACGCAGGAAGGCACCCCCAGCACTGCACCCCCGGAGCAGAGCAAGATTTATCCGCACCGAACACGGCCAAAGTGCCCGAGCCACGATACCGACAGCAGGAATCGAGCCCCTGCCTCGCTCCGCTGTGGGTCAGGGGGCCAAAAGGGAATCACACTCCCCTGGTTTTCACCCCCCAGTAACTTTCTCAGAGGCAACTGGGGGGGGGGTGTCTGAGCCCCAAACAGTCCGCTGTGCACTCCAATCTCCCGGCTCAAGCTTTTTGCCTCCTGTGTCGACAACCGACCGACGCATCCCCCGTTGGGGAAACCGAGTTCCAACGTCCCGAGTCAGCCGCGCACCGAGAACCCCCCCTAAAGCCCCCCGAGACCCCGGTCCAGCTGCTCCTACCTGAGCGTGGCGCTCTCCCCTTGCCGCACTGTCACGTTGTCCATGGCTTTGGGGAAGGTGGCATCTCCGCTGCGCACGGGCACTCCTGCGGGCACAAGGAAGAGCAGCCTGAGACAGAGGACGACCAGGCACCTCCAGGGCAGGGCTAAGCACCCACCGACCCCCATCCTGGGCAGCGGGGACTTTTCCAACAGGCAAAAAACACACCCGACAAGGCGAAAAGGGGGAAGGGGTGGGTGGAGAGGAGGGATGGGGGGGAGCAAAACCACCGGGGCGAGCGCTGCGGAGCTCCACGGAGATCAGGAGAGCCCCCGGCAAGGCTGGCTGCGAGCGCTGAGCCTGCCGAGCGGCATCGGAGGGAGTCCCGCTGTCCTCGGGCGAGGGAGGAGGACGGGAGGGCCAGGGGGAGGAGGAGGAAGAGGAGGAGGAGAAGTGGCAAAGGTGCTGGGCGAGCCGGTTCTTCGGGCAGCAGTCCGAGGCTCACTTGGGCGAGGAGGCGCCGGGGGGGCCCGGCTGTACCCCACTCCCGCACGCTTGTCCCGAGGCGGGGGCAGTCCAAAAACCAGTAAAAACCCCAAAAAACACCCCCGAGGCGAGCTAGCAAAGGTGTCCAGGCGCAAGAAGGCACAGCGGGCAAAAGCCTCCGGGATGCCCTGCAGCTCCTCTCCTCCCGCCCCGCTGTCGGGGGGCCGATCCAGGCGGGATGCAGGATGCCGGGATGCAGGCTGGGGACGAGAGGACGGCGGGATGCGGAGCGCGGGGCTGTCAGGCTGCCGGAGCCCCCGGCTGGGCTCAGCGGCGGGCGGGGGGGCGCGGGGGGGCGGCGGCGGCGGCAGCACCCCGGCCCCGGCCGGCAGCATCCCCCGGGGTTGTCATGGCAGCGGCTCCAGCGCTGCCCGGCGCCTCGGCTCCCGCACGCCCCGAGCCCCGCACACGGGCGGGCGGGAGGCAGCGGGGCGGGATGCGCACGGAGGACACACACGTTTAACCCCCGCCGCGCCGCGCCCTTCGCGGGGGGATGTCAAGACCCCCCATTCGGCTTTCTCCTCTCTCCCTCCGCGCTTACCTGCACCCCGCAGCACTGGCCCGTTTGCCCTCCTCTACCTCCGCACCTTCCCCATCCCCGGCGGCAAAGCCGCTGCGCAGGAGGGGAAACTGAGGCACGGGATAACATCCCCCCTTCCTCCCCAAGCCAGGTGATGATGAGGAGAGGCAGGAGCGTGTCCTCCTGGCCTCCTGCACCTCGTGAGCACAGCGTGAGCTTAAGTGGCAAATTCCTCCCCAGCCACCAGCAGAGTCCCCGAGTACTTTTTATCAGCTCATAATTTAACAAATATCACATTTGCTTATGGCAAGTAATTCCACCTTCCCTCCACTAGTGGCTAAACACATTAATATTTCCAGGCACAGTTCCATGCTGGTAAAAAGGTGCTGGGGAGCATCCTCAGAGCACAGAGTCCTGGAGCCAGCAGTCAAATCACAGCTTTTGGGGTGCTGCACCCCTCAAACCCCCTCAGCTGCAGCAGCCCAGCCCTGGGGGACAACTGGGCTCCCCCACTTGCTGTCCCCAGTGACTCCTCTGCTTTGCCTTATCCAAAAATCCTCCCTCCATTCCCCACCGAGTGCTCGGCAGGTTTTACATGGCACCAGTGTGGGGGTTTTTTGTTGGTTTTGAGTTGGCTGCCAACCTGAGCTGGATTCAAACTGGTGACCTAGATGTGAAAGGATCCATAGCCCGTTACTAATCCCTGGAGTCTCCGAATCCCCTGTAAACTACTGCTTAATTCACTAACTGTGCTATTTAATCTCTAAAACATTATGAGCTGTGCCGGGCAGAGGAAACACTCCATCAAATAAAGCTTTATTATTGTTGTGCGTGCTGAAGGGTCATACGAGAAGGGGATTGCTCTGCAAGTCTCTCTACTTTTTCCCTGTCTGAAGGTTCTCTGCTCCTTGAATTTAGCGCTGGTGGGACGTGCTGCCTTGAGTCCTGTGTTTTCCCAGAGGAAACAGCAGCTTTCCCCAGCCCTTGGCTGCAGGAGTTTAATCCCTGCAGTGAACTACGCTGGCTGATCTGGCAGGGGAAGGTGAGCGCTGCATTCAGCAAATCCTTTGGGGGCCACAAATCACACAGGAGGGGTCTCTGAAACCCCACTGCATAAAGAGAGAGCAGCAGAGGCAGGGTGAAAGCCTTTGTGCAGGGTTGTGGGATTGCACCAGGATGTACAAGTCAGCAAAGAATAAAACACACCACTCCTGCTGATTGCTGCAGCATCCCAGACTTCTGGAAGGATCAGGACCCTGCTGTGATACCTACAGGACCATCACACAAGAGCTTGCTCTTTGAGAGGCCACTCCTTTGGATGGGCAGAGACCATCTCCTGTGTCAGCAAAACCAGAGGGATTCCAATAACCACAGCCAGTTAACCTTTTAACACGGAATTCAGGCCTGGATCTCCAGGAGCATCTTAAATCAAGAGAAAAAACATCTCCCTGCACTGAAAGCCTACGAGGCTGGGGCAGAATGTGACCTGCTGAGCTGCTTCAGCCCTTGCCAGGGCTGAATTTGGCCCACTGTTAGATCATCATTAGCATTGTTTGAAAATCCCAAGGAATTTACATCCAATATGCTCCTGCATACTAAAGCCCAGCAGAATCCCTGGTCTCCCTCCCTCTCTTGAATACATCCAATGTACATATAAATCAGCCTGTCACAGCTCGTCTCTTTCCTGACAGCTGTAATTGCTTCGGACTATAAAAATATCTATAGACAATAAACACAACGCGGCAAAACAGCAAAGAGAAAACCAAATCAAGGTTCCTTTAAATAATTCAGTTGCTCCAGCAGCAGAGGAGCCAGCAACTGAGTCCAGCTGTGAAGGTTCAGCAGCGAGAGAAAGAGAGCTTTGTAGCCTCCTCTGGGGATGAGAGAGTCTTTCTTCCTTCGCTGGGTTTTGACCACAGCAGCAGCAGAGTTTGCCGCACACGGGCTGAGCCCATCCGAGCACCAAAGAGCCTCTCGCTTCCAGCTCCTTCCCTTTCTTCCTACTTAGGTAAAAGTCTCTTTTTTTTTTTGTTGTTGTCGTTGTTCCACTGCGAGCAACAGGCAGGAGACGAACGGAAGGAGCGAGGCACAGGCACGCTCGAGGTGTATCTTTATCTCCGTATCTGTCCCCTCAACCTCCTCGTTCCCAGCAAGGCTAAAGGCCCCCCTCTCCTGGCCGAGACCACAAACAGAAGCAGCAAGGGCTGGACGGGTGGGAAGTGATGCAGCGGCGAGGATGGAGCCGAGGGAAGGGTTTCCACCCGCTCCGGGAGATGGGAGCTGGCAGGGAGGATGAGGAAAGCATGGATGGGGAAGGGGTTAGAAGGACAGGGAGCCCGTGGGTTTGCTTCCCAAAGGAGCATCTCGGGGAGGGGGGAGGCTTGCAGGCAGAGCAGAGAGCTGATCAGTCCCAAAAATGTCCCACGAGGAAGAACTGTGGATTTTGGCTTGTTGCAAGGGACCCCAGCTCCTTCTGCAAGGACCCTTCAGCAAACACTGCCCCACTCTCAGGCTTTTTCAGCAAAGCCAAGCCTTAAGCAGCTAATCTGCAGATCTGAGTGGCCCCAAAGGCCGATAACCAGATGCAAATTTGCAGTTAAAGTTCTTCAATCAAGTAAAACAACACCATTGCTGCATTTTTTCCCCGCTTTCTCCGAAATATCTAACAGAATTCTCCCACCTATTTCACTTAACAGGTTAAGTTAGAGATCCCCTCATCCACCTGTACCCTTATATTTCCCTGCAAACCTACATCCATACAATCCTACACCTCCCCACACCAACAGATTCCATTCCTAGAGAACAAAAAAAAAAAACCTCCTTCCAATAAGTAGGTCATAGCAAGGCAATTTGTACTGCCAGATTTCTCTTTTAATTCCTTTTTTTCCCTTTTCAGGAAGCTGATAGATGGCAATCTATAACCCCAGAGTGGAAATTTATTTTTAATCTGGAATGGCCAAATATGATCAGAAACATAATTTATGCTCGAGACATTCTCGTTCCTTCCAAATGAAAACATGATTTTCTAACCCCAGCCGTGCTATCGCATACCACATCATTCCCCAATACGCTCGCAGTTGGACAAAAAGTGCTTAATTTTCTTGGCATTAGTCAGGTGAATGACACAAGAGTCCGGGGGAGCTTTTCCTGAATAACTGAGCCCTCCGTGTCTACAACCATTCAAAGCCACAAAGGACGCGGGTTCCAGCTCCGCTCACTGACTCATTTATCCCCTCGTTAACGGTGGCCCCAATTAAGAAACAATGATTAAGAGCCTTACTTGGCTGGAGCCATTTTGAGCCCTTCTCGCCCCAAAGGCATTCCCTGCTCCGAGCTGGAGAAATTGCCTGTTCAGGGCTGTTTCTAGGGCAGTTTTTGGAATGCAAGCAGCATCCTCAGGGGCGCTCAGCCCTCAGTCCCTCGCACTGGAAGCAGCAGTGACTCCCAGCACTTCACGGTGTTTAAAAAACAGCGCAGGAGACCCCATTAATCCCTGCTAGAGATGCTGTTAATATTTAACTGCGGTTTAGATAAACTTACAGTAACCATCCCATTAAATTTCAATAAAATGTGCTTTTGGGAGCCTTCCCCTAAAGCCACGCTGGGATCGGCTGCCCTGCTCTGCCTGCACTTTGCACCAGGAGCCTCGCAGTAAAAAAGGAACATTTTGTTTGCCCTTTAAAAAACTGCTGGGCTCGGGTTTGTGGCTTGCTCTCATCGTGCTCAGGGACTCTGGAATTTTCAAGCACCAGTTAACTCCTTCCAGGGCGCCCCTGGCTGAGCTGCGAAGCCTCAGCCAAGGGGCTGCAGGACCAGGTGCCCTGACAAAGGTTGCAAACCCATCCCAAGCTGGTGCTGCAAACCCAGCATGGGATTTATCACCCTGCAGCAGCTCAATAGGTCACTGAGAATGCACCACCAGAGGAAAAGGAAAGCCAAAATACCCCCCACAACACTGCCAGCCCTCAAACACAGAGATACAAGGCAGCATCCTCGAGGATGCTGAACGCCCCACCCCTGGAAATGTCCAAGGCCAGGTTGGACAAGGTTTGGAGTAACTTGATCTAGTGAAAGCTGTCCCTGCCCACGGCAGGGGGTGGAACAAGATGAGCTTTAAGGTCCCTTTCAATACAAACCATCCCGTGATCCTTTGTACACTCCACATGGGCCAGGCAGTGCTGCAGGACACGACATCAGGAGGATGCACAGCACCCCTCAAGGCCTGGTTTTTCCCCTAAAATTACTTCTTCCTCCCACAGTCCTCAGTGTTTGGGCCTTTTCCAACAGCCCAGCCAACACAATACACGTGCTCAAGAACCAACACCTCTGTGCATCCAGTCTTAATATCAAACATCTCTGCAGAGAGTTAAAACAATGATTGAGGAGCCACCAAGCCACGCTGGCACAGTGAGAACTATGAACTGGGATTGATCCTTGGTACAAATCAATATTAGTTTTACATAAATCTGTTTCTCAGGGCTCTGCTGTGAGGTTATGGCACTGTATTAACACCCAAAAAATACCCTGTGCACTCTCTCT